ATGAGCCCTCCCAGAGACAGAAGGAGTCTGCCTGCTGGCTGAGAGAGATGTGCTGCTGAGAGATGCCTGGCTGAGAGAAATGTTGAGCTGAGAGACAGTGGTAGTGGAACCAAAAGGCCTGAGACAAAGCAGCAGGCTTACCTGGACCCACCGAGGCAGAGGCCAAGGGCCAGAGAGGCATATCTAAGGGCACAGCAGAAGGGAAACTTTCCTGACTGAATAACTGTATCCTGAGTACGTTCTTGAATTTGAATTGTACCCTCTTGCTTCCCTGATAAACCCCATAATTTGTGAGTTCTATGTGGCCACTGCAGTGAATTATTGAACGCAGCACAGAGGTGGTGGGTGCCGTGGGAGGGATGGTTGGTGTCAAGGTTGGTAAGATGGCTGGAGGGTAGCAGCATGTCTGGCCTTGTAAGAACAGGCTTTGGGCTGCTGAAGGTGATTCTGTCTTCTTGTGAAGTTAGAGGCGGCCAGAAGATGCTACCTCCCTGCCCCTTTTGTTGTTGTTGTTGTTATGTGTTGTTGAGTCGGACCTGATTCATAGCGACCCCTCCTTGGGTTGCTGAGGTAGTATCACAACGGAAGTAGATTGCCCCATCTTCCTTCCGAAGAGTGGCTGGTGGGTTTGAACCGCCAGCCTTCTGGTTAGCAGTCAAGTGCCTTAGCCACTATGCTACCAGAACTCCCCCCTGCTCCTTTAGCAACCACATAACGTGGATGAAGTTGGAGGACATTAAGCTGAGTGAAATAAGTCAATCATAGAAGGACAAATATTATATTAGTTCATTGTTGTAAAAAGTCAAGGAAAGGTTTATATGTGGAAGGAAACTGTCTTTTTTGATTACCAGAGGTGGGAAGGGAGGGAGGGAAAACTGCAAAAATTAAAAAAAAAAAAGAAAGTCCATACTTGCTTTATTCACAACAGCACAAAACTGCAAAGAATCTAAATGTCTATCAATTGGTCAATGGATATACAAATAGACTACTACTCAGCAATAAAAGTAACAAACTAGTAATATATACAACATGAAGAAGCCTCAAAAATATGCTCAATGGAAGAAGTCAGACACAAAAAATACATACTGTGTGATTCCATTTATGTGAAAGTCTAGAATAGGCAAAAGTAACCTAGGGCAATAGAATTTTGATCAATGGTTGCTTTGTGAGAGTGGGGAAAATGATTGGAAAAGGGCTCAATAGGATTTTCCAGTGTCATAGCAATGTTCTCTCTTGAAATGCATGTCAAGTACTGCACTGTCAGTCACGGCAAGCATTGATCTACGGGTGGATAGATGGGCAAGCAGCTGAACGATCAGGTATGTCTAGGCAGGGGGAGTGTGCCCATGACCATGTATAGAGTTGGCAGGCGATGTTTCTACATTTATATTTGTGTGTGCTATAACAATGTCCAGGTATATAGTAGAGCTGACAAGGGACTTCTTAGCCACAGCCAGCTACCCCGAGGGAGTGAGTAGTTGGACCTATGTGGCTCAGGACAGAACCACGGTCACAGGGACATCAAACTCAATTGGTATAACATTCTACACAAAAACATTGTTCTACATCCTACTTTGGTAAGTAGCAACTAGGGTCTTAAAAGCTTGCAAGGGGCCATCCAGATGAAACAATGGGTCTCTCCTCATCCAAAGCAAAGAAGAATGAAGAAAACCAAAGATGCATGGAAACAATTAGTCAAAGGGACTGGTAGACCATGTGATCCTCAGCCTATATAACCATGAGACCAGAAGAACTAGATGGTGCCTGGCTACCACTGTCAACCACTCAGAGGGGAATTGGTGCAGGAGATCCTCAACAGAGTGGGAAAACAATGTGGAACAAAAATCAAAATCATAAAAAAGACCAGGTTTATTGGTTTGACAGAGCCTGGTGAGACCCCTGAAACTATGGCCCCTAGCTACCCTTCAGATCTGGAACTAAACTCACTCCTGTGGCTTCCAGTCGAACAATAGATAGGCGTATGGGATGAACATTTACATCAGGCAGATACACCTCTTGGAGTGTCAATCAATCATGGGAAAATAGAAGGGCAGTGTTTGCACATGGAGATAGCTCAGGTGGCAGGAATGCATGGGAGGGAAGGACACAGGAAAGTGGTAACTACAGGGAGGAAGTGGGAAGAAAATTGTTACATTGTGAAGAATTGCAATCAATGTCATAAAACAAAACCTGTATGAACTGCTGCATGGAAAATGGAATTGTTCTGTAAACTTTCACCCAAATCACAATAAAAATTTTTTCTAAAAATGCATGTCAAAACTGGTTAAATGGTACATTTAAAAATCTGAGTATGTCACTGTATATAAATTACACTTAAAATCATCAGTTCTTAAACTCACTGCCATCAAGTCAATTCTCACTCACAGTGACCCATTAGATTTCCAAAGCTATAAAGCTTTACAAAAGCAGAACTGCCTTATTTTTATTCTGTGGAGGGGCCTGGTGGGTACCAACCACCGACCTTCTGGTTAGCAGCCAAATGCCTTCATCAGTATACCACCAGAGCTCCTTCATCAGTTCTTACTGACCAATTAAATAAAATTAGGGTGAGAGAGCTGTGAGTAAGATAATTCCAGGTGAGTTTTGGTAACAGAATGAAGCAGAAAAAGAAAGGCCATTTACAAGAGAAAAGACTGTGTGTTTAATAATGTAAAACGTTAAGTGAAACATTTATCCGAATATATGTTATAGGCAGATAAAAACACATCTAGAAGGCAGGTAAGAGATGTAATAGTACTAGAACAATCCTGGAAAGGCTGAATATGGAAGAACAGAAGCAAAGTACAAAGAAGTAGGAACTAATAATAAAAAAGGGAGGGTAATTAAAGAGGTGGAAAAATGTAGTGGCACAGAAATCAGTAGAAAATTTTAGAATGCCACTATCTCTGATACAAAAGAATACAACCTAATGTTCTTAAAGGTCCAATGAGATGGACAAGATTCAGTACATTATAACCAAACATTATATAATTTATCTGTTATGGTAGAAATAGAGGGAAGAAAATGATACTTTATACTTGTTGTTGTTGTTGTTGTTACGTGCCGTCGAGTCGGCCCTGACTCATAGTGACCCCTCCTTAGGTTTCTGAGGCAGTATCACTACGGAAGTAGGACTGCCCAACCTTCCTTCCGAGGAGTGGCTGGTGGGTTTGAACCGCCAGCCTTCTGGTTAGCAGTCAAGTGCCTTAGGCACTATGCTACCAGAGCTCCTTTTTTTGGCATATTCTCAAAAATACTTTCCTAACCTTTGGGCTCGGGACCACAGTCACAGGGGACATCAAGCTCAACTGGCATAACATACTACACAAAACATTGATCTACCTCCTACTTTGGCAAGTACCAACTGGGATCTTAAAAGCTTTCAAGCAGACATCTAGATGCAACGATGGGTCTCTACTCTTCCAGAACAAAGAAGGATGAAGAAAACCAAAGATTCATGGAAACAATTAGTCCTCGCAACAAGTATACCACACGATGCTCAGCCTATACAACTATGAGACCAGAAGAACTAGATGGTGCCTGGCTACCACTGTCAACCACTCAGAGGGAGATCTACATAGGAGATCCTGGATAGCGAGGCAGAACAATGTGGAACAAAACTTAAAAGCATTTGGAAAAAAAAAAGGAGGGGATGAGGTTTGCTGGTCTGAACCACTGAGACTATGGTCCCTTGCTGCCCTTCAGGTCTGGAATTGAACCCACATCTGTGGCTTCCAGCCAAACAAAAGACTGGCATATGAGTTGAACATTTACCTGAGGTAGATATACTCCTTGGAGAGAAAAATCATAGGAGAAAGAAGGGCTGTTTATACACAGGGAGACAGTTCAGGGGGCAGGAGTGCATGGAGGGATGGACATGGGGAAGTGGTAACTATCGGGAGGAAATGGGAGGGGAGATGTTTCATTGGGGTAAATTGTAGTCTATGTCATGAGACAATGTGTGTGTGAACTGCTGTACGGGAAATGAATTTGCTACGTAAACTCTTACCCAAATCACAATAAATAAATAAAAATTATAAGCATGAGAAATAGAAAAAATGAAATATTGTCATTATTTCTAGTTATGGTTTTTGGTATAGAAAAATCAAGATAATCTAGAAAAAAAATTAATCAACAAGAGAGTTGATAACTGCCTAGTTGATTGTATATGATCAGAATAAGAAAACCAGTAACATTCCTATACATCAACAATAATCAATTATTTCCCTAATAATACCAAAAACACCCAAAACTAAATAAATAAATACTTTCCGAGATTGAAGTGACAAAAGCAAGTCAAAAGCCCTTAGAGGGGCAGTGAACTTTATGTTAATGGGGGAGGAACAACTCAGAAAAGGAAGGTGAGAATGGATGTACAACTTGAAGAATGTAATTAATATCAGTGAATTGTACATGTAGAAACTGTTGAATTGATGAATGTTTTGTTGTGTATATTCTTGGCAACAAAAAAAGTACTGAACTGACAAAGGTGGTGTTATATATATTTTTACAACAGTAAAAAAATCATGGGATAAAAACTTTCCTAGAAAGTTAACAACTGAGTTTACATGAAAGCAGATTCACTCTCTCAGAGTACTCAGAATCCAAGGCAGCAATCTTTCCAATTGATTTCTACAAGTGTTAAGTCTGTCTGTGGGTCCAGAATGACTTGCTTTACACTATGCTTATCATTGTCCTCTGCATAAAATGTATTTCTATTGATATAAGAGTTTGGCTGCACGAACAATGAAATTAAATCCTATAGTGCTTGCTCTTAACCACATCTGAAAGGATCTTTAGAAGAGATCTGTGTGAAGACAAAGCAGGTGGAGAACAGATGCACATGTTACCAATTTTTGAAGAGCACCCCTCTGCCAGCTTACATGCATCTATAATTACATTATCTACATGAAGAACACCCCTCTGCCAGATAATGTAACTATATTATCTACACCGTTGGGAATAAAGACAAGTTGAATAAAGACAACCATTCTACACACCGTTTCTGCTGCTGAAGAATAGTGTTACAGGCAGACTCTTGCTGTGCCAGTGCTCCTTGAAGTGTGGACATGATCCGCCCCTGCCGTAAGGGTTGTACATTCTCTTTACTCAGCTCCCATTCATCTCCCTCCAAGGACAGGGCTTCACTATGAAAAGGGAAATAAAAGTAAATCTCATACCAACACTGACTTGTTACATCACTGGATTATTGTAAATGTTTTCAGATAGCTGATTATTCATCATCTTTAGGCTGGATTCAGGTGAGCTGGTGCATTAGTGGTATTATTACATACCTAAGCTTCTGAGCCTTTCTGTCACCTGGTTTCCAAGTTAGTGGCTATGATATTATCTCACAGAAGAGAGAACTCAATAAGAGTTACTGTGGACAGTACTATCAGATTAAAATTTAAGGCAGAAAGAAAAGAAGGAAAAAGTGTTATAAATTTAGCAAAGCCAACAAAAAAGGCATCAGTTCTATGTCTGAAAAAATCATATAGTTTAATTTAAAATTAGTTTAAGTGTGGGTCAGACTAGCACCCCACGTTGAAACTGATAACTTAAAAGTGAAGTCTGTACATACAGATAGTTCAGAGCAGAAGCAAAGAAAAGCACAGTTCACTGGTCACAACTGGCCATCCCAAATTCTACCAGGCCCACAGGGGAATCCCTACAAATTTTTTTTGGTGTGTGTGGGATAATCACCATTATGGGTTATGTACTGTGTACTTTGGGTCCCTGGGTGATGCAAACAGTTAATGCACTCGGCTGCTAACCAAAAGGTTGCTGGTTCAAATGCACCCAGAGGTGTACTGGAAGAAAGGGCTGGTCATCTACTTCTGAAAAACTAACAATTGAAAGCACTATGGAGCACAGACCTACTGACAACGAGGTCACCATGAGTCAGAATCAACTCAACAGCAACTGGTCCCACGTATCCCAACGTTCTGCAATGGCCAGATAGAAGCCTACTTCTGACAAAGACATCTCTATGGTTAAAACCATATGGTAGCATAGTGGCTAAAGCACTTGGCTGCTAACCAGAAGGCTGGCGGTTCAAACCCACCAGCCACTCCTTGGAAGGAAGGTTGGGCAATCCTACTTCCGTAGTGATACTGCCTCGGAAACCCAAGGAGGGGTCGCTATGAGTCGGGGCCGACTCGACGGCACATAACAACAACAACAACATGGTTAAAACATAAAAAAGAAGAGACCAATAGGCACCAATCTTCAAAACAGAGTGAAAGTTATGTTATGAGTCTAGATGAGTGCTATAAACTCTGCAAGAAAGTAATTATAAAATAGGGGTGTGATTACAGGCCCTAGTTTTTAATGATAGATTATCATATTTGACAACAAAAGCATGAGCAACAAAAGACAAAACAGATAATTGGGACCTTATAAAAATCAAACACTTTTGTTCATTACGGGAGTTTATCAAAAAGTGAAAAGATAACCTACAGATTGGGAGAAAAATTTCGGGGACCATATATCTGATAAAGGTCTAATAACCAAAACATATTTTAAAAATTTCTACAACTTAACAATAAAAAAGACAACCCAATCAAAAAAAGGGCAAAGGACTTGAACAGATGTTTCACCAAAGAGGACATTCAAATGGCCAACAAGCATATGAAAAGAGGCTCGATGTTATTAGTTATTTGTTGTTGTTACGTGCTAGCAAGTAGATTTTCACTCATAGTGACCTCAAGTGACAGAACAGAACTGTCTCATTGGATTTTCTAGGCTGTAATCTTTTTAGGGGCAGATCAACAGACCTTTCTCCCACAGAGGCACTGGGTAAGTTAAAATCTTCAACCTTTTGGTTAGCAGTCTAGTACTTGGCTGCTTTTTACCAAGGTTACTTTTCCTTAGCCATTAGAGAGATGCAAATCAAAACTACAGACACCACTTCACTTCCACAAGAATGACAAAGATTTAAAAAAAAAAAAACAAAACAGAAAATACAAATGGTGACAAAGATGTGAAGAAATTGGAACCCTTACTCATTGCTAGTAGGAATGCAAAATGGTACACCCACTGTGGAAAACAGTTCGGCAGTTCCATAAAAAGTTAAACATAAAACTACCATATGATACAGTAATTCTGCTTATAGCTATACACTTAAGGGAGAAACATGAAAGCTGCAACACAAACTGACAAATGTACATTAATGTTCACTGTAGCACTATTCACATGCCATTTTGGATGAATGGATAAAAATGTGGTATATACAAAGATATGTAGTCCTGATACATGCTACATGGATAAACCTTGAAAACACTGTGCTGAGTGAAATGTTAATCATAAAAGTACAAATATTGTATAATCTCACATATATGAAACAACAGGATAGGCAAATGTATAGAGAACAGAATTTAGTAGTGGTTACCAGGGTTGGAGGGAAGAGGAAAAGACTAATCACTGTTTTAGGAAGAGGTGAGTTTTTGTTTATGGTGATGGGAAATTTTGCAACAATTATGGGCGATAGTTGCACAGCATGATTAATATAATTGATGTCACTAAGTTATAACCTGAGAAATGTGGAGTTGGTAAATGTGATATATACATGTTAACAACAACTTTAGAAAAAGGACCTATTAAGTGATGAATTATTTAAGAAAGTAATTATAAGTAATTAGTCATTTAGGCTGTGACCACTCACATTTTTTTAACTACATTGTGTAAACCCTGTGAATGTAAAGACTATGACTCATTTATTTTTGTAAAATGTGCTGCAGTGAATTACTTGGTATGACTCTTCCAGCCATGGTCTTTGTGGCCCCACAGTTAACTAGGTGGAACTAAGCAAATATAAGATACTGCCACCCTTGTGGTGGTTGTTGTTGTTGTTGTTATGTGCCGTCGAGTCAGCCCTGACTCGTAGGGACCCCTCCTTGGGTTTCCGAGGCAGTATCACTACGGAAGTAGGATTGCCCAACCTTCCTTCCGAGGAGTGGCTGGTGGGTTTGAACCGCCA